GGGCATCCCCTCAGTCCTGGGCACACCAGGTCAGCTGGCCACTCTGCATATGCCCCTGGCAGCCAGGTTGCTTTAGGAGCTACACAGATAAGTAGTCGTTATTGTTTCTCACACATAGCAGGGAGACACATAAAAATGAAACAACCAAATATAATATCATTCAGCCTTAAAAAGGAAGAAAATTGTGGCACACGCTACCATGTGGATGAGCCTGGGGACAGGATGCGAGTGAAAGAAGCCCGTCACGAAAAGACACATGCTGTACGATTCCACTTAGATGAGGTACCTAGTATTTGACTACTGTATGAATTTGACTATTCAGAGACAGAAAGAAGAATGGTGGTTGCCAGAGGCTTGGGGCAGGAAGGAAATAGGGAGTCGTTATGTAATGAGTTCAGAGTTTCAGTTTTGCAAGAGGAAACAAGGTTTAGAGATGGGTGGTGGTGATGGTTGCTCAACAATCTGAACGTACTTAACATGACTGAACAGCACACTTAAAGATGGGTAAGGTGGCAAATTCTAAATTGTTTGTATTTTACCACAATTTAAAATTTGAGGGAGAAAAGGTATACCAGCTATCACAATTATTGTTGCTTAGGGTGAAGCTAAAGTGGTATTTAAATTGCACACACATATGAGACGATACACCAGTAGCAGAAACTGGGGAAATGTTGACATAGTATATTCTGAACTCAGACTGAAGGAGCCTCCTGGAGCCTCACGACCCTCGGCCTGCCCAGTCCACAGTCCCTCATTCACCACCCCTCGTGCATGTTTCTGCTCCCCAGGTGGCCCACCCAGGCATCCAGGAGGGCTCAATCCCACCCCTCGGGTCTGTGCAGACTGACAGCATCAGGGGCTTGAAATCCCGAATCCTGATATTCACAGAAACTCTGTTATTCGCTTTTGCCTGAGCACTGCCAGCCTCACCGTTAGCCGTGAGCACCCCTAACAGCATCCTGCATCGGAGAAGGTCTGCGGCCTGAGTGTGGTGGGTAGGAGGGACCCAGAGGAGAGAAGTTGGCTCTAATGGGCTTCTTCCTAGTGGAGGCTAAGCAGGCTCCATCGCCCCCTCGCCTGTCACACGCTGTCAGCAGGCACGCACGGCTGTGGCTGGGCTCCTGGGCACTGGGGGTGAGGGGGTGTGTGAGGGACACCAGGGATTGAACCACGCCCCTTCCTATGTGTCTTCGCCCAGAGCCATTGAGACACAGGTGATGGTGCAGTGGCCCTCTGGGAGACAGCTCCCAACTCACACCAGTGGGGAGACTGTGGACAGGTCCCTTCTGAGGGTGTTTCCAAGCCGTACTCTGCATAACATCCTGTAGATGTGATGCACAGAAAGCAAAGGTAGGTTTACAGTGGTTCATGTGGAAACTAATACAATAATTAATAAATAACAATACAAGAATAAGCTCTGTGTTTCACTCATTCACGACTGCAAACCCACTTTTGCTTCACCCTGTATCACTAAGTGACGGGCAACCTTTATCAAAGGCTTAGGATCTGCCGGGTGCTGCGGCACAGGCCTTACACGCGTTATTTCATTTAATGCTCGCAGCACGCGAGGCTTATGGAGATGAAGGCAGCGTGCTCGAGGTCAGGGCTTTCGGGAAGAGACCGTGGGGAGAAGATGAAGAAGGAAAGAGCGAGAGAATTAACTACCGATATCCATGCTTGACTTAAAGCAGCCCTTCCTAAGCTTTAAAGGGCAGACGCCTCACCTGGGAACCTTGTTAAAGAGCAGGTTTTAACTCAGTAGGTGTTGGGTGGAGCCTGAGGTAGGCGTCTAACAGGAGAGGGCTGGCGCTCTTTGTATGAAGACCAGGCTGAATAGACCAGGCATCTTTTCTCACGCGCCTGGAATGGAAGTCATTCACTCACCCACTCGTTTAGTCGCACATTCATTGGTAGTTCCAGTCCTGATTCTTCACTTCACTAGATCAGTGACTTCTCTGAGTCTCAGCTGCCCATCCGTAAAAGAGGAATGAAACTCACATTTTATAGCATCTTTGTGAAAACTGAGTGCAATAAAATGGAGCAAAGGTCAGCCCCAGGGCCTGGGCCGTGGTGGACATTCCATTAGTGGTCATGGAGCCTTTTTCATAGCTCATTTATTTATTCATTTCAACCGAGATTCCCATATGGTTCCAGTACACTTATGTGTTTATTATAAACAACGTGTTTATTGAAACAGAGATGTCCCAGTGGCTCCAAAGGGTCCTGTGATAGATCCCAGAGTCACCATCATGAATCATAGGAACTGGCGTGTATCTTCTAATAATTTGTGCAAGAGGTGCAAAGAAATTGGTGGGGAGACAGGCGTAAGTGATGAGCTGTGGGAGCCACTTGGCGAATGACTCCACCAGAAAGAGTGAGTGAGAAATGTTTGTGAGGGGAGGGGAGAGAGAGACTAGGACTGGGTAAAGTGTCAACAGATCGCAAGCTGTTCATTATCTGGAAAGAACTAAATATCATGTAGGCAATTATCGACAGGCGTCGGAAAGCAACAATGGGGAAAGTTGGTCCCCAGCCCAGTTCCCTCTCCCCTGGGAGAAGGGCTGGGAGACAGGCTTTAGCATTCCCAGCAGGCTTTAATGCAGAGGGAGAGCAAGGGGCCCGGGGCCCCAGAGGGAGGGGACAGGCAGGGGACACAGCTCTCTGCTTTGAAAAGTGGCTTTACCCGCAAGCTCTAGGCCTGGAATCCACGGCCCCCTCCTCATCCACCCTCCCTCCCCCAAGATGTCATCTTTTGAGAGGATTTCATGTGGAAGCATTGCTAAGTAAATTCGCTAAATGCCCATTCATCCCCGTCAGATGGGGACTTGGTGAAGCGGTAAATGTGAAAATGGCCCAGCTCGGGGCCCTGAAAGGGCTTTCTGGGGTTGCCAAATGGAGCTGCAGCCGCTGACCCTGGGAGGCCTGAGGCTTTGAGAGGGGGCCCCCAGGAGCCCCGGCCCGGCCCCTTCAATCCTCCCACTGACGCTACTGAGAGGCCCCTGTTTATTATTCCTGCTGCAGGGGACCCATTCAGAGGTTAACTTGTCCCCGTATTCATCAGGACTACAATAATGAACTGTCGCAGAGAGTAGCGAGGCGCTCGGTGAATAGGAACTGCTAAGACATGTAGATGGTGCAGAGGGAGCTCGCTTTCATTTTTCATAGGCTGCTTTAGTTAACACCTCTCCCAGCAGCGTCAAGAGGCCCTCTGCCCACAAGCTGCTGTAACTTGGCAAGGGGCACGCGTGGGCTTCACCTGGCAGCGAGCGGGCGGGGTTCGTCCACGCAGGAGACGCATCATCGTTGCAGGGACACGTGGGACGAGCCTTTGTCTGCGTCCCCGGGTTCACTCTGTGCGCACCGCAAGGCTTAGCGCGCTGCGTGTGCCAGATTTAGCTCAGTGCGGACCCATGGGGTTTCTCTGGAGTCCGCTTGCTAGAAGGGGCGGTTTCGAATTGGTGTTGATTTCAGCAGCAGGATGGGACATCGGCGGTGCTCATTTTCCCTGCGGCATTTCCTAATGCTCTGTGCCCCTTCCCCTGGAATTATGAGTTGGTCAACATGAGTCATCCGATTACAGAACAGGGACTTGGAGGGGCGCCCCTGCAGGGAGCTGCAGGGAAATGAAGGAGCGGGGAGGGTGGGAGGCAGAGAGAGTAGAGCAGCTTGTACTTATTGTACACCTACTATGTGCCCTTTAAACCCACCCAGTTGTCCATTCAGAATATATGGATGGAGATCCTACTGTGTGATGGGCAGCCAGGGGAGTTCAAAGACGGTAAATGACTAGACACACAGGGCCTGGTCAGGAGAGCATCTGGGATCTCTCTCCAGATTCTCCCCCTTCTTGAGCCCTGGCATCACCTTCTGAGGTGCCCACCTGCCTCCCAAAGGTCTAGCCTCCATTCTGTTCCCAAAAATGTCCTTCCTTTCCTTTGCCTTCGCACATTTCCCCTTTAAACAATGCTTAACCCTTTCCTCCTAAATAAAAATCCCTGAACGGAGAAGCCTGATGATGAAAGAGCTGTCACTTCGGCACCGGCTACCTGTTTGGATTTTTTCAGCGGGAGAGGCAACTACATTTCTGGCAGATGGAGGCCCCTGTGACTGCCTTTTGAAACACTGTCACAGCTGTATGCACAAGCTGATTAGCTGTGACTACACTGCTAGTGCCGAGGTTGATGGTGATAAATTTGGGATAACAATGCTGGGAATGATGTCATTCGTTTGTATGGCACTTTATCTTTTTTAAAGATCTCTCAATCAGTTGCCCCGGGGGTTATCGAGAACTTGCTGTTCATTCATTCATTCATTCATTCATTTCTCAAAATACACAGCAAGAGTCAGTTCAGACTCATCTCCCTTTGTGTCATTTGTTCATTCACAAACATTAATGTAGCTCCTGCTACGTGTCATGATGAGCAAGTGTGAATAGGTCCTGTCTTCATGGAACTTACATCCTAGTGTAAGGAAGTTCAACATCCTCAGATGGTGATAAGAGAGTGAAGTAAATAAAGTTATATGATAAAGGCAGAGAGGGGGTTGCAGGTGCTACTTTAGGTGGGGTGGCCATAAAAGGCTCCTCTGATGAGATGAAATTTGAAAGGGGCCCTGGATTACAATAGCAAGCTAGCTATGGGAAGATACCAGACAGGATTTGCCATGCACAGCAAGCGCAAAGGCTCTGGAGTCGCTATGTATTTGGCATTGAGCTCCATGCTGATGACTTACTATTTGCCAAGCCCAGGTCTGAGCATCGAAGATCTTAAACTAAAGAATATACTGTGCTTATCCTCAAGGAGTTCACAGTATAGGGAGCCTGTAGGAGACTCGCAAACGGTGCATTTTAATGTAGGGTGACTCATGAACGAACACAGCCTTACCTGCCGGAGTGGTGTGAAAGGAGGGATCCTGTTTTTCTATGACAAAGAATGGAGCCAAGACCCAATTCTCCATTGTCTCTGGAGGATTCTAACTTTCCTCTTTGTTTGTTTCCGCAGGACAAATGACCAGCTGGTGGCTTTTCTCTCCCGATACCGAGACATGAATTTCTTGAAGTCACATGGCCGGGACAATGCAAGGTAGTACATCTTCCTGTCTTTGTGCCAAATGGAATGAAAATCTGAGTGATCACTTTGGGGCTTCTTTCCAGGCTGGTTTGGTTAGGCCAGAAAAACGTTGAGGGTGGGAGAAGGGCAGTCACCGTGGACCTCAGCCCTTCAAGAGAGGATCTGAAGTGGCCTTCTTGTCAGCCAAGGACAGAGATCATCGTAAATGTGTCTGATCAAGTCATTGCCCTTGGCACCTTTTGTCCAAGCACTTTTGTGAGTCCATTATCTCATTGTGGCAACTTTTGAGATAAGTAAGGCAGCCTTGCTAATTCCCATTTTATTGAAGGGAAGGCTGAGGCCCATAGTTTATGATTTCCCTCGATCAACCATTTGGTCAGCCAGTCATTCAACAAATATTCTCTGAATGCCAGGCATGTGCCAGGCACCCTTCTAACAGTGAACAAGACAAAGTCCTCACTCTCATGGAATTTTCCTTTCTAATGGAAAAGAGTCTCATGCCAGCATGGAGTTGAATTCAAGTATCCTGACTCCAGCCCTGTGCCCTCGCTGTTGCCTCACTTTGCTGCCCAAGACATTGGCAAGGATTCGAGGCACCCAAAGCCCAATTGGACTCATTGCACCTCCCTCGTTAAAATGAGCAATGCCAAATAGCATCACTACCATCCAGCTTTGAGTTGAGTCCAAATCTCCATGGCCAGAGATCAGCTGGAAGGGATACAGTCTTGAGTGCTCCCTGTAGGAGGGATCACATGATCAGCTCTACCATCCAGTTATAAAATAATACTATTAAAATCCGGCCCAGGAGCAGTCTAACATCTTAGAGCTTTTTTCTAGAGTTTACCTCAGGGCACAACCTGGCAGTTCATAGAGTAATGCTAGCTTATTAACCTGTTTTGTTTGGTCCTCATGTTGGTTTTGTTCTGTTGTGTTGTGTTTAATTCAGGTGCATTATTTGAAAATAAGTAGCCCCATTTAAAAATAGCACTATTTCCCATGAAAATCCGGATTTTCAGTTCATCTTAAAAGATGCCTGATCGCAGTCATTACCTGGATCTTAGATAATGCCTATTTTTTTTGTTTGTTTGTTTTTTCTGTTAATAATCACCCAAGGATATTTTTTCCATTGATTGTTTTAGAGAGAGTGGAAGGGAGGTAAAGAAGGGTTGGGGGGGAGAGAGAGAAAGAGAGAGAGAAAAACATCCATGTGAGAGAGACACATGGATTGATTGCCTCCTGGGCCCCAACTGGGGCCGGGGACTAAACTTGCAACTCAGGTAGGTGCCCTTGACTGGGAATCGAACCCACAACCCTTTGGTGCGCAGGCTGATGCTCTAACCACTGAACCACACCAGCAATGCCCGTGTTTTCCAGGTCTCTGAAATTCTCACTCATCCCCCTTCCCTACCTGGACCTGTTGGCATTCCAATTTGCGATCTCTGCTTTAGGAGGTCTCCACTGCTAGTGGAGGTGTGACTGACTCTGTGACTTAGTTTACCCAGTTGTCCACAGCAGGGAGGGACAAAAGAAGTAGTGGGATCCATTTCCTGAGCTTTGGAGAAGTAAACCCAGAGTCCTTGTGTGGGATCATTTTCCTGCATCCTAACTTTAATTTTATCCAGCTGTCTACTTAGAGACTGTTCCTGTCCTATTGACAGCCTGCATTCTTTGCATTTAAAAAGAGCCCCGGTTTTGAAGACACTCTGTAAATCAGCACAGAGTAGTATAGCGTGTTCGGCCACTAAGGGTGGGAGAGGCTTGGGTGGATAATGAAGAATTATAGCCACTGTGTGTTGTGTTCCTCCAACTAAGTGCCCATTGCTCTGCTGGACCCTTTTCATGCAGGATCCAATTTCATTCTTACAGCCACTCAATGCAAAAATGAGAATTAGTATCCCTATTTCTCAGAAAAAAGGGGGTCTTTGAGAACCTAAATGATCTTTCCCAAGGTCACACTGCTGGAAAGTGCCAGAATTTGAACCCAGGTCTCTGGCCCCAAAGCCCATGTGAGTGAGGTAGAGCTGAACAAGAGCCCATGGAGATGGTTAGTTATTAAAACTAGCCCACGTTTTCGTGTCCTTAGGTAGAGAATGAAGACTTTTTTCTCTCCAGGTAACCTTATCACACACATTTTGCACAAATAAAGTTGCATCATGAGAATGGAGCCCATCAGTTGATCGACATGTCTGAATGACACCCTCCCTACTATTCCTGTTTTGGGCCAGTCAGTATTTATTCTCTGACTACTCTTTCCAGGCACTGTGCTAGGAACTGGGTATAGAACAAAGGCTAAAATCATGGGTTTTGAGGTTATACCTCTTGAGTTGGAGTTCTGCTCTACCATGTCCTAGCTGTGTTGCATTGGACAGGTGACTTAACTTCTCTGAGCCTTTTCCCTTACCCGTCCAATGAAAATATTAATAGGCCTACACTTATGGAATTGTTGGGAAGATTAAAGGAGATGCTGCATGAGAAACATTTGCCATATAGTAAATGCCCTATGATGGTGGTGATGGTGGTGATCATGCTGGCATTGCCATGATAAATATAAGACTAAAATATTGCTGTTGGGAAAAAGAAACAGACAGTGTATGAGCCAGAGTTCTTCCTCTGGGTGTGTGAGTATATCAGTAGTTGACACATGGTACCCACCCAGCATGGGACAGGATAAAGGCTCAGGCTAAGGAGTGTTGCCTGGACCTCCTTCTAAAACCCTGAAACCCAAGAACGGAATAGTTCATGAGCTCCAACACCCACCCAGGAGTCTTCAGCTGGGATTCTCTCACTCGATGAAGTAAGGCAGGTAGTTTAGTGTTCATTTAATAGTAGCGGGAACCAACAGATCTTCATTTGCCGCTCTCTCCTCTTTGTTAGCTGAGGCCTCGCCTGCTCTATGAACGTGCTCAGCCACGCCTGTCTTCTGCTGGTCTGTCGCGCGTGTGCAGGGCTCAGCTTCAGTTCCTGTGCTGCTCGTGTGTCAGGAAGGACACCTTTAGTGGGAAATGACAGAAACCCAGCTCAAGTAGCTTAAGGAGTAAAGGAAGTTATTGGATAATGCGACTAAAATATCAGTATCTGACTTCAGATATGCTACTCAAGCAGTTCAAGTGATATCAAGCCCTGACTCTGTTAGTGCTTTGATTTTTTGGTGGTTTAACTATTTTTTATTGTTCTTGGAAAATGCTACAGTAAAATAAACATATCCCATCAAATAACCAAGTAGTTCACTAGCAGGAATCTTTTTTTTAATTGAGATATACCATCATATTAGTTTCAGGTGTGCAGCGTAATGATTCGACGTGTGTATGCATTGCAAAGTCTAGTTAACATTCATCACCTCACATAGTTACAGATTTTTTTCTTGCCAGGAGAACTTTTAAGATCTCCTTTTAACAACTTTCAAATACACAATACAGCATTATTGACTATAGTCACCATACTGTACGTAACAGCCCCAGGACTTATTTATTTTACAACTGGGAGTTTATACCTTGTGACTCCCTTTTTCCATTAACTTAACTTCCATTAGTTCTGTTGTCCTTTGTGTTGGTTTCAGTGTTGTGATTCCAGGTGGTGACCCTTTCCGACTTATTAACCTCATTTCACAGATAAGGAACCTGAAACTCAGAGAGGTGAAGAAAGCTGCTTAATCTCACATGGCGAGGGCAGGGCCCGGACTCAGACTCAGGCGACTGTGTCCCCAAAGCTTGGCGTCCCTGCGTGGTGATGCCTGTCTGTGTTCTAAGCCTGCTCACCTCCAGTATGCTGGCTGGCTCTGAGGCAGCCACTTTGCTTCTCTGGGCTTCATTGTCTCCCTTTCAAAAACAAGGGGAATGAACAAGATGGTCCCCAAAGGCCCTTCCTGCTTTGATGCTTCTGGACAGTTCTTGTAAAAGACATTGCGACAGAACCAGACAGAGGGCTTAAAAGACCAAGAGATGGGGGGGTGGACAAAAGCAAACAGCACAGGCCACATGATGCCTCAGCTTTTAACTCCACGTGGTTCCTAATAGCAGCGTTGACCTTCTGTCTCTGTCTCCAGCCTTTAGCAGCCAATTTGGACTTCCAGCGCCTGCTGCGAAGAGATGGCATAAAGACAAACTAGTGTTTTAATAGCTGCCAAATTGGTCCTGACTGTTCCTGTAATTAAATGAAGGGGAGTGTTGTGTTCTCCATTTCCCCTTGCTTTCCTCCAAAAATAAAGTAACTAGATATACTGAAAGACACGTGGCACAGTGACCAGTTTCCCAGACAGCCTCAGCAGAGCCGGCATGAGCAGGTGCCCTAAAGTCTACTTGCAGCCTGAATAAGCTGGTTTTTGCAGACATCCCCTGGAGCTCCCGGCTTCTGCTTAGGGTGCATCAGAGAAGTTTCCCAAATCTCGGCATCCTGATCAAGTCCTAGTGTGCAGGGACAGGCCCCTTACAGGGAGATGGAGAGGAAAAATAATTTCCCTCTGGGACTTTTCCTATCTGGGTTGATCTCAGTTCTCTGCCTAAGTTAAGGTCACCAAGGCCCCAGTGCTCAGTTCTGGGATGCAGTGTGGTGTGGTGCTAAGAGCATGAGCACCGGGGTACAGCCAGCTCTGCCGTGTGACAACCCTGGGACTTCAACAAATGACTTTGACTCCCCAGACCTTCATTTCCTCATCTTTATAAAATCTGGACAGTGATGTCGGAATTGCGGAGAACCAAGTTTCCACAATGACCACAGGAAGGCCATTCCAGCCTCCCTTGGCAAGTGTTACCCCATTCTAGAGATGAGTGCAACTGAGGTTTGCAGAGTTGGTTTAACGTGCTCAAGGCCCCACAGCTAGTGAATGGCACAGCTGAGACTGGAACCAGTTCAGTCTCACTTTTAAGGCCTGTGTTCTTTTATCACCACAGGATCTGAGAGGACCCATAGTTTTAAGTTCTTGGGGTGTACAAGTGAAAGAGCAAAATTCTGATGACTTTAAGCAGAATCAGTTTTAAAATGAGTGGGGGAAGGAAATCAGGTCCTCCTTCCACTAC